GCTTTGGAGGACCTAGACGATAAAATAAATTAATAATTATTTGCAAATTAAAATATACACGTTTTAGAAGTACATAATGTAGGTATCACTTCAAAAAATACTATTATTTTTAGAATAAGAATTTTTTATTTTTTAATTCTAAACTATATAAATTTTTTACTATAGATTTTTATATTATTTAACTAAAAGTTAAATATGATAGAAATATCATTTAGTTTTATAGCATACGAATATATTTAAATTCCATGAAAATATTTTGTCACATGCAATTAAACATGCCAAACACAAACAAGTGTAAAATTTTAAAGAAATCAAGAATGAGCTACCTAACTATATAATTTACAACAAAACACAAAGTAGAAATGCCCCAAATAAGTTTAACAGATACGAATTTTGATTTTAAAAAAAATAAGCATGTATGTATTCTCTAAAAATGATTTACAATAAGCCAAGTATTGCAATTTTTTTGACAATATTCCGATATTTAATACGAGTGTGTGTGTTGGAAGTTGGCAGGCTTTGGGTTTGCAAGCATAGGCTCCATATAAAAATACATTCGTAAGGTTTCTATTAGAATTTAAAAGACATTTCTTTGTTATTAGATCTCATATCTAGTTCAGTCATAGATTGATGTTCGGGCAGAGTGTTCCTATACGTATTACTGAAAAATATATTTATGCAAAGCTACATTATTCTCTCCTCAGACAATTGTAGTTATCATAAATGTATTAGTCGTACTATATGGGAGATGACCAAGTCTTGATATACATTTTTATTTTTAAGGAATTTATTCAATTTCGGAAAAAAAGAAATACACAATTTTAATAAAACATCTAAAATAGTAAGAAAAAAAAACCCGGAAAAAGCACAAATACAAAAAAAAACAACATACCGTACCTAAAATAAAAGAGTTCCAAAACTCCGTCCCATACTCTATATCTGACACATCATTGGTGACATTAGGATAAATTGTTAGATTAACTGAAACTGTTCCAGATCGTAATGATGACAAAGGTAAACCAAACGTACACATGGATGTGAAATATTCTGGATCACCATTTATTTTAGTATTGCACGTTTCGGTCCATATTGGTTTTGTAAATGACTGTAAAAAGATATTTTTATACTTAGCACTTCATATATATAACACAAAGAAAGCTAACACACCTTGCACAGCTACATGTATAGCACTTTAATGGGAAGTTTCAAACAAAAAAACTAGGTCCTGTTGTCTGACTACTAAAAACATGAGTTTTAGGTAACGATAAAGAAGGGACAACACAGTACAATGATAAAATAACAGATAGCATTGATTTTATATTTTTTGAATTTCTATTTTTAAAAAAAAGTACAGTAATAATTTAATTATCCTGATTTATATATTTCTTTAGTTAATTAAAAACAAATTACTTTGCATATTAACAATATATTCAAAAAGTATACATAGATCATATGTAAACAAACATACTATTTAAATGTGATCACATTTATTTACAGTATTAGTGTTTATTTTCAGCCCACCTTATTTATACTTATCCGATAAAGACAGATTCCTTTAGGGTAGATTTTGTGTGCAATACAAGTCATGTATAAAGCGTCATTAAAGAAACTGTTAATGCATCTGATGTCTTCAGGTTTGGCTTAAATGTTCATAAAATTACAAACAATGATAAGAAGTCGAAGAGTATTGTAAATTACAACAAAAATATGTGAATTAATATTTCATCTCTTCTAATAGCAATTGGGAATTATAATTTATATTTCATCTAATCAATTGTCATTCTATAAGTTTAGATGAATGTAAATTTCAAGATTCGATATCTGTAAAAAAAAAATGCAAATGATCTCTGGATTTTTTTAGACTTTAAATTTAAATTCCTTTCTATTTCACAATAATTGATTGCTAAGAAGGTAAATTTACCTCTCAACACGTAGAAGTTACATATGTTCGCTAGCGGTTACAATAATGTTTTCTACATATAAAAATAATGTATCAAATTTTATTTGGCGTTATAGCAGCATAAATTTACTTACCGAAAAAAGTTATGTTACATTTAGTTTTATTGTTCATAATTGAATTCTCATAATATGCTAGAAACCATGGCTTTTCTGTTGCAAAATGTTTCCTACTGATGTTATGTATCAAAACTGTAACAGTCAGGTCATATTTTTTCGGGGTCAGTGTAAGGTTAAATCGATCAGTGTAATAGTTTTTGCATATTTGATTGTTTGGATGACATGTTCCAATGAGTTGATACATTGATACTATTCTGATATCATTCTTCTCTCCTTTAAAAGGGAGCATAAAGCTTATGCTGTGACTCTTGTTTTCCTCAGCAGGTGTACAAGACATTTTACCCTTCACTGTAATATAAAGAAATGTATGAATTGTTTTAAACTTATAATAACGGTTTAAATAATAGTATTTTTATGGGTTGAGAATCGCATACGTATTCTAAAAGAAAAATTGGTTAATGTTATGTGTAGGTTATCATAAGAAAAATCTTTTTTTTTTCCACATTCAATATCTTTACAACATTTCAAAATAATAATGTTATTACTGTTACGTGTTAAAAATAAATTAAAATACCATTGACCATTTTTAGCAAATGTGAAGATATCTGATAACCCAATTATAGGCATTGTTATCTTTAAAATGTTTAAAATAAATAATATGTGCGGAAATGTTTGACTGAACATAAAACTTATTTATTTATGTAAATTATTTTTGTCATTAATTAACAAACATTTAATCACATTGCTTTAAACCATATACTTCAATTAATACTACATTAATTTTCAAACCCTATAACCCTACTTTAGTTAATTGTCCCCCAGAGGTCACAAAACTAAATGGGACTTAATAAGTCCAAGATATGAATAAGAGCGATCACTGATGGCTGTTTTTTTTTCACTAGTGAAATAATTTTACACTGATGTCTTGTGTCCAAATAGTGTTTGTTATTTATTTACTGAAAATGAACAATGCAATCAAAAACATTTCCATTTATTTGGATCAATAAAATAATCATATAAGTATTTTTTTTTGTTTTTGATTTAGTTAACATTTCTTGATTTTGTGATGGTTATTTCTCATGTTTTTTACCTCGAATTAATCTTAATGCTCCTGAAGATGCCAATTATTTGCTTTATTTAAATTTGCAAAAAAGTTACTGCCTTAATATTTACCTGTAATCCTCATGCATACAACAAACACTCCAACTAGATTAACTATATGCCTAACAAGATTCATTATTTGTACTAAGTATAACATTATTCAACAGTTTCTTGTGAAATGATTGAAGAAACGGTTATTAAAGAAGTAAAATCATGAATAAAAATTTCTAATATGTTGAGTTAAAATAGCTTCTGTTACTTATGGCTTTCTTTCTGTCTAATGAATTAGTATAATATTAGTGACTAAGTCAAATCCACACATGTTTATGTCTCATACAAATGTTACCAAGTGCAATACTCTTTTCCTAATCTATTTCCCCGGTTTCTTAAAGGTTTTTTTAAGTTCCTGCGGAGAAAACCCTCCCACATTTTTACGAAGACCCATACCCCTTCGATTTCTCCAGCTAATAGTAAATTATTTTATATCATTGTTTCTTTACAAATGATGTGACTATGTTGCATGGATGGTGGCACAGGGTGTCAAGTAATTTATTGAATTTAGAGTGAAGACATGTAGTTGTTATTAGGAAACTAAAAGATATTGGAAAACGACATAATGAACAGTTATTTAACGTTCATATTTAATGTCCTTGTAAAGTTTAAGCTCCTTAGAATAAATCCTGCTGTTGTTACATTAAGTACTCCATGAAACAGAAATTCAGAATTAAATAGCATTAACAAAAAGGGGAGATAAATGACCAGGTTCAACGATCCGTCCAGGAAAATAATTTCGTTGGTAATGCAACATTACAATAGCCATGAGGGTAAAGTCTTGTACAATTTATAGTAGAAGACGGATTATTTTATGTTTTAAGGTGAGAATATTGGATGAATTTGAGCAGAGTTGTGGAAATTATGGAGAAAGTAGTGAAAATTGGTTGTTCAGTTAAAATAGATTTCGAAGATAGAACTTTTAATCAGAATTAGAGACATCTATTTGTCAGTTATTTAACTGAGGAGGGTACATCAAGAAATATATTTTTTTAATCAACCATGTATGAGAGAGTATGTATTATGTGCTGTGCTTTTTGATTGTCTTAACGCCTAGATTGCCAAAAACTCAAAATACTGAGTGAAATCTTCATGTCCTTATCACCAAAGCGTCAAAATAGGTAATGGGAATTCGGGACAGAAGCCTTTCTTACAAATCCCATCCAAATGAAAAACAGAATCCAAAAATTTAAACTTGGAAGCCTACAAATTACTTTAAGGGGAAGACCTTCGAAATGGTAATCTACGATAACACAATTAAATTAAAATCTCACTTTTATAAGAGACTACACACGATTTGTGGAACAAAAAAAAAAAGACGAGTTATCTTGTTGAAAAATTTCCCGGATTTCTTGTTAACAAATTTAATAAAAGCAAAATAGTATTAATAAAAAATAGTCACTGTCATGATATGTTAAAATAATAAAATAACAACAATGCAATATCAATATAGTAAAATATAATAATCAGAAGTAATACAATGTATTCTCCTCCTGCTTATATTACAGGAAAGTTAAAAGTTTAGCCACATGATTAAATTTACATTTGCTTTTTTGCAAATACACTTATTTTCTTTCAGTTGCACAATATAAAACTAAATTATTCTATTGATTATTGGAAGTAGATTGAAGAACAGTTCATTTACTGCATATCCACTTTTGACCTTAGAATATTCTGTTTATTAATAGTTTTTTTTATCATGTCACTTGGATAATGGGGCTGATCATGAAATCGATTCTTATTTGCATTTTAAATCAATATAACACACTGCAGCCAACACGATAAGAAGGCACGTTTTTCTACGCAGACACAAGCTCTGTGTTGGGGCATGCACTACTCTTAAGGTAACTTTGAAGGTGGGGAACATTGGAAGCTCTATGTGTGTTTGAATGTAGCTACATTATCGAAACAAAGCTGTTTTCCAGTCTAGTTACTGTACCTGGATACATTACTGCGGTGTTTATGTTTATGCCCTCTTTTGAAAGGTAAAAATTAAATCTAGTTGTATGTTTCAGACAAAAATGCAATCAATAAAAATGAATTGTTGTCTTTAATGGATATGTGTAGAGTTGTACCAAATCAAATTCAAAGAAACTCGTGTACAATTTTAAAATGAAATAAAACTATTTATACATTACAATAAAAATTTTTTTTATTAACTCAAAACCTTTATGTGTTTAAAATATGTAATTTTCAATTTGTATGTAGATGGTTAATTTAATAAATATAACAAAACAAATTAGTTGCTGTCTCAGTATTTGATTTTAATAGTATGTTGTTAAGAGAGAATTTTAAGTTTTAATAAGTGCTGAAATCAAATGAAACAAATGAAACCCTACAAAATAAGTGAATTTTAGGAATCACAGTAATTATATATATATATATATATATATATATATATATATATATATATATTATATATACATTAATATAATTTATATAAATAAATATAAAATAAAACAAAAGAAACACTACAAAATAAGTGAATTTTATAAATCACAGTAAATATATATATATATATATATATATATATATATATATATATACATATTATATATACATTAATATAATTTATATAAGTAAATATCTTTGTTACGTACCGTTACATATTTTTACAAATTTTATCTGTTTTAAGGTTCTGGATCGTATTTTAAACAACGCTTACTAAAACTAGAGATATTAACAATCTTCAATTCAATAATACTACCAAGTTTATATTTTTTTCAAAATACCGAAACAAAAGCTATCTTGACTTACATCCCGGCAAATAAAAAAGTATAATTAGCAAAATATAACGCTTTATACATACACCCACAAAGAGTACAATCTTGTAGAACTGAATCAGTTTCGTAAATGACTTGGTAAATTAGCAAACATCTCTTTTTGCTTGGAATGATGTCTGCTTATGTATTAAAAGGGTATTATAAACATCCAGACAAAAATAATTCTAGAAATATTATCTCAAGAAAGCACTCTTTATAGCACAAATTAGAGCGTAAATAAGTTTTTGCCCAAACAAGACAGGGAAGGGTGTTGTAGAAATAACTGACGTCACAAAATCAACAAATTAAATGATGAGATCGTTAATAGAACAACAAGTATGAGACGTGAGGTGCAATGTCACGAGATGTGAGGTGCAATGTCACAACATGTGAGGTGCAATGTCACGAGATCTGAGGTACAACGTCACGGCTCATGGCGATCAATTTAGGTCAACAGACAGGATCTAAAAAAATTATTAAAGGGAAACAAATGAAATAAATGTCAAACTTCAAAAAAATATTTTGTAAGCATTTTATATGTAAAAATGTAATGAAAAATCAGTATCAAATATTAGATAACAATTTCATATTTACATTTCAAGATTTCTTCATTTTCTTCAGTTTAAAAAAAAAATATAGTTACTTTATTCATAATAAAATATATTTAAGAAGAGATTGGTATTAAATATATTTTTTAAAGATAAATTTTAACTTAATTTTAGGAAAACAGTAGTATTCACTTACATTGTTGTGTAATCCCAATACAGATATGAATTGTATACCTAAAATGTTTAACCAACATTTTTAATATCAAAATTACTTATTTCTTTTTTTACAGAACATTTTTTAAAAGTCAGACATGCGGAATATAGCGCAGATTTTGATTCTGATAACAAAGATTATAAGTAAGAAGTTACGTTTTTAATAGATTTAAATTAAAATTGTTGTAATAAAATATTATATTAGTCGGTCATGACATCTTTCCCTTGTTCTTAAAATAATGGTAAATATAATTATCATCCTTTCAATTTTATTCTTTCAGCTCTTTTGCAAGGTCAAGGCATTAAAGTCTTCCAGATCAGACAAGAAGACTGCGATACGAAATGCTCGAATGAACTACTAAATGAAATTGACTCTTTTGCCTTAAATACGACTGTGTTATTAACAACTGAGCTGATGAATAACTCAGCTGTAATCTTTGAGATAATGCCTAAGACAAACAAAGCATTTGATTATGTACGTTGGAAAATTTTAATATGAGACCTAATTACTATAAGTATAAGAAAATATTATATAGCTTAAAAAAAGTACAATAATGAACTAAGCAATTAGTTAAATGTAATTAGCATTCAAAGACTGTGATTTAAAAAAAAAATAATAAAAAAAATAAAACATACAATGTATTTTTGTTAAACCTAAAATTTTAATAAGGATTAATTTCAAGAATATAAGACCAAATATGATATCATAGTATATTATTTCAAAGTAAATATTATAAAAAATTTCAAAAACATTTATCGAAACATCGACTAAGCGACAATATCATTTAAAGAAATGCACATGTTTAACATTTAAATTTTTAATCAATATGGTGAATATTTAGTGCGTTATAATATTTATGTACAAACTTTGCTTTTCCAAAACATTTAAATATTTATAAAGGAATAATGTTAACAAAATTAAGGAGAAATTATTAAAAGTGCCCAAACAGATACACCAAAAAAAAAAACAAGAAAAAAAAAAAAACAAAAATTAAAAAAGAAAAAAAGTAAAAAAAATAAAGAAAAAATAATAAAAATTCCCAAACAAAAAACCCAAAAAAAAAAACAAAAAAAAAAAAAAAACACTACACATTTTTTAAATACCATCTCAATATAACTATGTAATTTAATTTTTAAAAATATAAACATTTTTTACCCAGTTGTTTTCTGTAGATATAAAATCTGACTTCACACAGACTAAAAAGCCTGGAAGCACTTACCACTGTTCTCAGATCGCTGATCACATGTTTAACATCTCCATTACGTCAAAAACTTTAACGTCACTAAGCGAAGCGACAATTCGAGGCCAAATAAAACACTACAACTTAACTTCAATAGCCCACTCTGAGCAGAATTTACCGAAAATATGTGGTATATGTTTCATTTATTCCTTGACAAAAATCTCAATGTATGCATTAACCGCGATGCTTTATCTTCCTTTTACACATCGAGCATAATTGAGTTCACTGACGCATTTGAAAGGGCAAACGGAACATTTAATATTGACCATTGATTTCATTACTATTAATATTTAATTAAAATTATTGATTATTTATCCAAAAACAAAAGAACGTTTGGTAATATCAATAAATATATATATATATATATATATTAATATGCATATATTTGAACAAGTAAAATATATGTTTTAGAAAGTATTCATTTCTTTTTCAGAACCTACTGATGTAGTCAGTATTTTCACAATAAATGGACAAAACGTAACTGATACAGAGAACTGTACATTAACTTTGAATGAAGATGATATGGCTCTAGAATTTGAATGTATTGGTCCGGCAAAACCATGTCTTATAGATCCAATAGCTTCTGATACAAACGATAAAGTTAACGGAGAGGACAAAGTTATCATCCATAGAATGATACACGAAGATGTTCAAATAGAAATTGGACATGCCCTTTGTCGATTTGATACAAAGGTTATAAATATTAGTTGCACTGTCTTTAAAGGTAAGTTATTTGCAAAATTAAAGTCAGTTTGGTTATATTAAAGCTATTATAAGTACGTATTTTCTCTGAAAGCTTTGTCACCATTTCCATTTCATTAAATGCCAAGATTTCAGTTAAATGTAAATACGTCATCATCAGTGGCTTTAAACACAACTTAGGGCCCTGGCCTGTTCCACAACATCATTCTATTCAGAACGATCCATGGCTTTCCGCATCCATGAGCGAGCCACCATTTGCTGTAAATCCTTTTCTACATCGTCGATCCATCTAAGCATTGGACGACCGTTGAGTCGTCTGCCCCTAGGTTTCTGTCTGTATATCAGTTTCGCTGCACTATCCTTTCCATATGTTCTGCGCAGGGTGGTCTGCCTTTTTATTGTTTCGACTATGTGTGGGTCTTTGCACTATTGGGATAGCTCTTGGTTTGTACGGATTCTCTAGATATCGTTTTCCATCACTAAACCGTACATTTTTTTCAGGATTTTCCTCGCCCATGTATTTAGAAGGTTATCTGCTTTTCTTTTAAGTTTCCAAGCCTAACTAGCGTGGGTCTAAAGGTAAATACAGACGCTCAAATCTCATTACGTATTTTGTAAAAAAAGCCAGATTATATTATTTTCTTTTATAGTAACTATCAATTGAGGGATATTAACAACAACTGACTTAATTTTTCGTAGCAAAACTTGCCATATTCAATAAATTATAATGCCTAAATCAGAGCACGGTTCATCAGTCATAAAATATCAAACAGTAAAAGGATTAAACATGTGAGCGAAAAGTTATCCGGAAAATATAATAATATATGAACCAACAAAAGGATAATACTAAATAAACAGGGCTTGTATAGACTACTCTATATCATGATCGCACGCAAGTACGAGAAATAAAAAAAAGTCAGACTACGCTGAGCGGGACACTAAAAAGGCCATAAGACAGAAAAAAGAAATGGGTGCACCAACAAAATCTCAGAGGAAAATGTCTCAAAGAGAGAAGTAGGTTTAGATGGATGAATAATTTGGAAAAAATATATACATCAGCTGGGATTCCAAGCATATAAAAGAAAAACATGAGGTAGTCATGAGTGGAAGGAAGCGATGAGGCAGTCCGAAACCTTACGTCGGTTGTAAGACCACAAGGATGTTAGGGGTGTTCTGATTGGAAGGAAGTGGTGAGGCAGGCCAAAACACTACATTAGCTCTTGGGCCACAGGGAGGATGAAATATTAGAGGTAGTTAAAGTAACTCGACTCTCATAGTTAAAACGTATGCCTGCTAATAACTCTGTATGTAATGGTACTTCAACTCAAGGTTTAAAACGCTTAATACACCCCTAAGTTGATTTCAACTGCATTTCAATTGTTTAAATCATTTTTGTTACAATTTTACCTCGCCATCTTTTTCATTAATCATATACGTATAATTTGTTTTATAAGACTTCACACATTATCCAGTAAATAGTATACAATTACAATAAACCACACAGTTAATTTATGTAAAAGATAGTAAGTTGGCTCGTAAAATACTTATTTTTTATGTAAATATGCTTACGCAGTTATGTAAAAATGAAATTGTTATACATGGGGAGCATTAAAAAAATATTTAAATGTTAAAGATTTATGTGTATTTTTTTTTTTAGTTATTAAGTGTAGATCTAGACAAAAGAAAACTTCTTTATATGCTCATTATTATCCAAAGTTGCTGATAAAATTGGTAAAAAAGTTTAACTTTGCCTTAAAAACCATTAGAATAGATCTTTAATAGGTAAAAAAATATATCATAAACATTATATTTTATATAGTTTTTCTTGCTGTCCTTTTTAAAATCAAAAGTGTTAACTGCTATTAATTTGATCATTTCTTTTAAAACTTTCCAGGTCCACAAAAACATCTCAAAACGGCTATGATATTAGCAACATGCTCTGGGATTCTAGCAATAATCATAGTATTGTCTACAATTTTATACTGGTAAATATTTTACGTAATAAAACAAATTAAAACAGATTAATAACGTATTTTTAAAGATATTGACAATCATGCCTTTAAAATATAATTTGCAAATAACACTTAAACTTCTTAACGTATATTTTTTAATTCAAGTATTTCCTTTTAAGCCATTTGTGTCTCTCTTTATCGCTCGTCGGTGTTCTTTAGTTTTGTTGAATATATCAGTTATCAACAAAAAAAAATAATTATGAAGTATTAATTATTATTACAAACACATATTTTAACTATAATTTGCATTTAATCATTATGATTAAATATTTAAATATAAGTCAAATGAGTACATCTAGTTATATCGTTTTCAATTGCCCTGACAGATTTGTATTAAATATATGTTAATGTTTCCCTTTTCATTCCAAGTGTGTATAAAGTCATCTTAAACCTTCGAAAACCAGGTTTGTATCCTTTCACAAAAACAATATAGTTGCTTCAAATTTGAAAGGAATTAGAAAGCAGACTTTCAATCAAAAATAGTTATGAATAATAATAATTCCTTTGTATGGTGTTGATGACCGGGGGGATGGGGGAGCAGCACCAAATACACACACAGAAACACATTCGTTGCCCTCACATTTTTGTCAACTAACAAGCTATTCCTGAATAAATACGAATATAGTTTCAAGTAAGCCTTTGTTGATTCATGACGCACCATCTGAAATTATTATTTAAGATTATGAACACCTTCCCGTATTTTTAACCCATCACGGGGTTGCGTTGCTTTAGCTATAAAATTAAATAGTATTTAACATGTTTGCGATATCTATATAATTTAATACGATATTTAACAATTTGTAAAATATTCAGTTAATGACTGGACACATTTAACGTTCACCCTAATATTAATTGTTGAAATTTTAAAAAAAAAAAGCAACCTTAAAATCAGATTAAATGAAAAAATAATGAATTTTGGTTATACTAATTAACTGTAAAACCAATGTTAAGTTTGTTGTCCCTTTCATCTAAGCCTGAGCACATTTTAACTGTGGGTGCGTATTAAAAAATGGATAATCTGATTACACTGTTTGATTTATTAATTGCTAAAAATTCAGTAAATATGAAAAATAAATTGAAAATAAAGTTAGATATCCTACGGGCAAATTATTCAAAAGTTTAATATTTTATTAATAGATTATTTATATTATAACGGAATGATCTACAAAAGAGATTTCACTTAAATATTTACAATAAAATGTATGTGAGATGTATATTTTTTAGTTTTAATTGAAGCGAATAGAAATATTACTGAAATGTGAATTGAAATTTTACAGCTGTTAAAGAACAAAATATAACGGCGACGCCTTTACACGATGAGTCTCAGAATAACAACAGAGAGACTACTGTAGTGTCATGCGAACATGGATCAACAGTAGATAATCAAAATTATTATAGCGACATCCCTTTAAATTCAGCTAGACATCGTGGACAGACTGCTGGTAATCAATCCCCAAAAGGAAGCATTACAAATGTCGAAATGCCTGCAAATAATGGGTCAGGGGAATTAATGATGGCATCTCTTCATGACGTCACAGATACCATTCAAACATCTTTAAAAAAGAGAGCTGATGTTTACAAATCCAGTAAGGAAATATTTACTAACGTTATGTTAGCATTAAAAGTGATTCAAACATAAATAATTAAAATACTTATAAAATATGCCCATGACAATACATTCACACATTTTTAAAAAAATAATAAAAAATAACAATAATAAAATGCGCAACGATACATTACACTTCCGCAATATAACGACCAGCATCGACTTCAAAACTGGCTTAAGACCAATGTCTTCAAACTGTAATAAATCGACTAACTCTCACACCCCTCTGACAGATGGACAACGGTCGATTCTGCCTGGGTGCTGTACATGGCTATTTAGTGGTAGATAGTACCTGGGTCGATGACGTCATGCTTTTCATCAAATTTTTATAATTGGATCCTTTTCTGAAATTGCATAGTTTTTATGTGACTCGCAATGTGCCTAGACCTAGGCTGAGGTACCGCGCTATGTAGAACCACCTAATGATAATAATAAATAAAAACAATTTAAAAACAATAATACTTACGGTAACTCTGCCTATATGTTCGCATCTATGGATGTATATATCAAAACTGTTTTGACGCTAATAAAACTAAACGTCGTATGTGATGGAAAAAAATAGACGATTCAAGAGATTATCTCTCTTCTTAAAATACATTTCTTTTACATTAATTTTAAAGACTACGAGGAAAAATAAAACCTGTTAGTATCTGTGTTGTCGTTCGTCCGTCACAATCGACTAGAACCATATAGTCATCCGGTTAGGGGGAGGGAGTTATGGTGAGCACGTAGGTGGCTTGCCAGACGGATCCCGTTTCGGAAAGATCTCTGGCACCGAGGGAAGGGGGTAGTTGTTGCAGTCGTTGATCTACTATTGCTGTTTTGGGCGAGCCCGCGTGTCACAGCTGTTGTTATCCTACTAGCTTTATGAGATTTAGCCCGATTCTTGGCTGCTACTCTCTTATTGGCTATTTCCTGGGCTGTCTGCACCAAGTTAGTAGGATTGACGCTAAAGGCCTTTAGTGCCGCGTTCAGTTAGTCTTTGTAGTGCTTTTTGGACCTCTTTGGGAGCGCTTGCCTATCGTAAGTTTTCGAAAGAAAATCTGTTTTGGGAGGCGGTGATCATCCATACGGGATACGTGTCCCATTCAATGTAGTTGAGATTGCATCAGGCCGGTGAAGACACTCCGACATGATTCCTTCCAAAATCTACAAAGAGGATGGACCAACGATGACAAATAAGCTATTATATCTATTCCAGTTCATCTGGCAGCTGGAAACTGTACCACAACACCTCAAAGATGCATTAATAATCCACCTGTACAAACACAAAGGAAACCGCTTGGCCTGTGACAATCATCACGAAATTTAATCGCTGTCCATTGCAGGCAAGATTTTAGCCCGATCCCTTCTGAACCGTCTGAATGCAAGTCTGGAGATCAGTCTCCTACCCGAAAGTCAATTCTGTTTCTGAAAAGAACACGAAACTATGGATATGGTGTTTGCTGCCAGGAAACTTCAAGATAAATGTGACGAACGAGATAACGGAACTATATTCCACATGTATCGACCTAAATAAGGCTTTTGAAAGTGTCAATTAGGTGGAATGTGGGAATTCATGAAAAAGTATGAATGCCCAGAAAAGTTTACCGACATCAACCGTAAGCTGCATGATGTTATTACGGCCCAAGTTCAGGACAGCGTTTCGTCATCTCAAGCATTCCAAATAACATACGGTGTGAAGCAGGGCTGTGCCCTGGCTCCAACTCTCTTCCGTGTTATGGATTCTGCAATGTTGTCTGATGCGGTCATGGACTCCAACACGGGTTTGGCAATCCGGTTTCGCACGAAAGATCAGTTTGTAACATTAGGAGGCTTCAAGCTAAAACCCAGGTCAAACATAACACCATCAACGAGCTGTTTGCGAATTATTGTGCACTCAACCATGTTTTAGAAGCATTCATGCAACACAGCGTTGATGTCTTCTCTGACGCCTGCAATAACTTTAGCCTCATAATCAATACAGAGCAGACTGAGGCGATGTATCAGCCAGCTCCCAGTAAGTCCTAAGTTTAACCCAAAATCTTCATCAGTTGAAAAAGTCTTAACGCGGTGGAAAATTTACTTACGTCGGTAGAACCCTCTCCAGATCTGTCGTCATGGATGATGAAATGAATGTCAGAATCGCAAAAATTAGTGCCTTTTTGGCAGGCTCCGCAGCACTGTTTGGGACAAGGGAGGTATCAGTCGAGAAACGAAGACCAATGTCTATAGTGCAGCAGTCCTCTTGAAATTGCTTTACGGTTGTGAACGTGGACAGTCTACGAGCGTAACGCCAAGAAATTGAACCATTTTCACACAACCTGCCTCCGGAAACTCCTCGGCATCAGGTGGCAAGACAAAGTTCCTGACACAGAGGAAGTCGCTAGAGCAAACCTACCTAATCTCTGTGTAGTTTGAAGAGTAGTGCAGTCCTGATTATTTGTATACATGGATAGTCCTACATATTATAGGAAATGTCTACTGGTTTTATCTGAGTGAAGTTCATTAAGCAAAATGCGTGTTTTTTTAGAAGATAAGCTTTCTGATGACTTTTGTTTGGACATTCATTTTCAAAATTAGTCCATATTTCTATTTTAGATTTAATATAGTATCAATTTTTTTTAAAGGGTCTTTTTTAAACGACATTTTAAAGCAGATATCAAGTTAAAACATGTAAAGTTATTCCACATCAGCAAAGGCCCTTATAGTGAACTAAAAAAAAAAATTAATTAACAAACTTTGGCTTTAACAAATGTAATATCACTTGTGTATTTAATTATCATATTTTTGTCTATTATTAAACGTTGTCGGACCAGTCGTGTGACGCAACAGCCTATCGGTAGAGAGGTCAGGCTGTGACAAGGGGGGCGCTAAAATGTCAGCGTTGAACTATCATTCATCTGATTATCTTTTTAACAGGGTATAACAAGATGGAAATGACATTGACTGATCTGATATACAACTTTTTATGTTATTTACTCTTTAGGATATAATTAAATTTTTTTTCATATAAAAATAAGGTTATAATCTATTATCTGCAAGAGATGTTCATTGAAATAGATAAAATAAAGCAATGTTGAACCTATATATTTTATGTGTTTATTTTTAGAAAATGCAGTGAGCAACGTGTATACTGTGAGTATAATGTCTGAGAGCTGTGGATAAAAATATGTATATGCTAAATTAGTAATCATATAAATATTGCATGTCTCTTGTTATCTATTGATTTATAAAACCTAATGCACATCTTTTAAGTTCAAACATGTTAAATTGTTGTCTTAGTTTTTAACCAACATTGCAGATGATCATTAGAAAACTCATTGATCTTTGAAATAAGAGAATGATTGCACTTGTATGTTTCTTTAATATCAGATTAGAGGATGCATCATGATAAGACATAATTTTAAATCTTTCATATTTTATATATCCATTTCAGATTGAAGATAATGAAGTTAATTTCGAAAAAACACAATTACTTGATGCAAAAACTATTTCAAATGCAACGTTTGAACAACAATCAAAACACGTTTTAACGGACGCCTCAGTAAATGGGCAGGTAGAAGACATGAAATCCCCTTTCAAAAGGTGGCGTTGATGTGTACAATACAAACAGTAATGACGATACAGAATTGATAGACTCAACACAAAGCAGAAATAAAGGCGGAACATTTAGTAAAGATACAAATACGACTGCGATTACTTCACTGTGTGTAGATCAGAATACAAACCTAGAGACTGCGTCACTGTTATTGGAACATGGTTCTAATAGAACTGGCAAAAAGGATAATAGCTTAAGCCGTTTAAATTTAGTTACACATCGTGGACAAAATGATATCATTCAAACGACAACAGACAACACTGCAATTGTAGAAGACCCAGCAATTACTGGGACAAATGCCTTAATGATTGCATCACTTAATGGCAACACTGAGGCGGTTAAAAATCTAATTCACCAAGGAGCTGATGTCAACAAATCAAATAATGAAGGGTTTACTGCATTAATGTTTGCATCACAAAATGGTCACACAGAAATAGCTGAAATGCTTATTAAAGGAATTGCCAGTACAACGCATACGAAGATAAAGAAAAATACCAAGTTAAAATACGCTTTAATACAAGGTGCGGCTGTTAATGACAAGAACGCTTACGGCAATTCTGCCTTAATGTTCGCTGCAATGAATGGACACAGCCAGACTGTTGCGACGCTAATCAAATATGGGGCTAATATTAAAGAGAAAGATGATAACGGATTGACAGCTCTCATGCTGGCGTCACTATCCGGACACACTGAGACAGTCAAGACACTGTTGGATCACAAAGCCAACATTAAAAAAAAAAACAAAGACGGTCTTAGCTCCTTAATGTTTGCCTCACAAAATGGACGTACTGCAACTGTGAAAGAACTCATAAGTAGGGGCGCTGACGTTAATGAAAAGAATAATCGTGGTGTAACGGCTTTAATGGTTGCATCTCCTAATGGTCACGCTGACACTGTTCAAATGCTCTGTGAAAACGGAGCCACGGTTAAGAGTAAGGACTTGGATAAGAAGAATGCTTTGATGTTAGCCATGGGAGGAGATCACAGGAATATCGTTGACATACTTTTAAAGCTTGGAGCTAAGGTCAGTTCCAGACACAGTGGCGGTGTGACGAGATTGATGCTTGCAGCAAAATATGGGCTAACTTCAACCGCTGAGACGTTTATCAGAAATGGAGTTAGCGTTCATGACAGAGACCACGCAGACCGCACCGCTCTGATGTATGCAAGTGAAAATGGACATACGGATACTGCTTACATGCTTTTAAGAAATGGCTCAAATGTTAACGAAAAAGACAAAAGAGGGTTAAACGCTTTGATGATATCTTCAATGAATGGACATCTTGAGATCTGTAGATCACTCCTTCAGAATAAAATTGTTAAAAAAGAAAAAGATAATGATGACAAGACGGCTTTAATGCACGCTTTCGAACAAAAACAAGATGATGTAATAGACTTGCTTATAGAGCATGGATATGATGGACTCGAGAAAGATAAAAACGGGATGAACGCTTTAATGCAAGAAATACAAAATGGCCGCATACATAATGTTAGCCCTTTAATCATAAAAAATGGAGCAGATGTGAATGCAGAAGACCTACAAGGAAGAACCCCTTTAGTCATTGCATCACAGAAAGGCTTTAAAAACGCTGCTGAAATTCTTTTGAATAACGGTGCAGATATTAACAAGAAAGACAAAAAGAAACGAACAGCTTTAATGTATGCCATACAAAATAACCACGTTGAGGTGGTGGAACTGCTCATAGCTAATGGAGCAGATTGTAAGGAAAAGTTACATAATGGGTTTACCTATTTGATGGCTGCTGCACAGATGGGACAAACACAGATTGCTGAATTGCTTATCAAGAACGGTGTTTGCCCGAAGGATAAAACCATTTCTGGGGAAACCGCTTTAATGCTTGCGTGTGAAAATGGACATAATGAAATGGCCGAGATGATTATAAAAGAAGACGTTGATCTTAACGAGAGTAATGAGGAAGGTCAAAATGCTTTAATGATTGCATGTAAAAATAGACATGCAGAAATTGCTAAAATGCTGGTGCAAAAAGGGGCGAACACAGAAGTAAAAGATAAATATTGTTTGAAAGCGGTAAATTATGCGTCACAATGCGGACTTAATACAGCTGCCATATTTACTAATACATAGACGATTAGTGATTTGTACACAAATGAAGTAAATTCTTGTAGCAAAAATAATTCATAAATTGGCTTTAAAGCACTTAAATCATGTTTTTAGTCTGTTAATTTTACTCAGTGATGGCAAATGCTGAATTAGCTTTCTATTGAAATATAAAGACTTTCTATGGTAAAGAGATTAATTACTGTATGAGCATTTCCGTTATCATTTGGTAGCGGGCTTAATTTTTCACACGGCACTAATATTGATTCTCATGACACTATGGCATAGTGAAGTGATGAGAACGATATAAATCACGAGAAAATCGGGAACTAGCTTATATAGCTGAAGAGGAATTCATGTTTTAAACAGAACAAGAGAGATGTGGTTCTTATTGAAGGAAGGGACAGCCAAAAAAAAAAGTTTACTATTTGCAAACTTCTTAATGTTAACTTGTTTTTTTTAATAAAGCGAATTATTATGATACAATTATGTTAATTTTTATTTGAATCGTGTATGTCATTTGATTTCCCAATCCATGAATGAATATATCTTTAATATAGTGCCTATTTTGTATACTCTTGTTACCTTACATATTTATAGTTATGTTAGAAAATATTTATCAAAATAAATAACATAAGTCTGAATTTATCCTTCTATAGAATAATATACAAATCTGAACTCGACAGGATGTATCTTACTCAGGTGTCTTGGTAAATTTGTGTAGATTTGTTGTATTGCTGGAGATGGGAGTGATATGCCTGAAATACCATGTTGTTGCAACATCAACCCCACGCAAACAATGCTTAAAGAAATAACTTCCCATATCTAATAAGAAATATATGTGAAAGGCAGCATTAAAATTGATTGATTGAATACTTTTATATCAATGCTATATTACCATACTCACATCGCTCATATGCCCTAACATATTTTTAAAGAAAGTTTTTAAAAATGTTTCTTAAATGAATTTTTAATTATATTTAAATTTCCCTTAAAGATTGAGCAAACTGTTTAATACTGTTGCTGCTATAACTTCACAATAGCGCAATCTGTATGAATTCTCTATGTGCCCATCCACACCGATAGCTATCCGTAAGGACTCTGTTGAAAAAAAATATATATACAGTTACGAGGCCATGACAGGCATTTCCGGCTCAATCCAGTGAGATGCCAGTATAGGAACTGCTCATTCTGGCCAAAAAAATTTATGGACTGGAACAAGCTTCCATAAGAAACAATCGAAGCTACAACATTTGCTTCTATTGCCTCAGGCCTTCCAAACCCCAGTGCGTGATATCATTACACAGTAGCCCATGAAATCTGTGAAATATTATCATCAACAACAGGCACAGAAATATTGCAAATCCCCTCTACATGCATAGGCGTCAAAATGATCAATAAATTGATAATGGGCCCTTAATATATAGAAGAAAAAAAAAGCACATGTTCTTTTTAGATACGTAATTATAAATCGGTTTTTAAAGCTATTCAGTTGCAGAGCCTTCAATATAGCTGTAAACCATGAACATAATTTTGTGGTCAATGCCATCACCAACATGAAGAAATCGGAGATCTTTAAAAACTGGAACCCTTACAGTAACCTAATCTAAAAAAGAATTCGTCACTTGTTATTTTGAGCACACCAACTATAATTTAAAATAAGAAAATTAAAAAAAAAAAACTGAACGGAAATCATATTCTTTTCCCCAGCACACCAATGAAGCAGCCATTATGTTATAAAAATTTAAATAGGGCCTTAGAATACACATTCATTTGACCGGCATTAACTGTTTTAAGCATCCAAGTCCCGGCAGGCTCCCCAACTCAGCTTTTGTCACAGTATTATAAGGCTTGTCTGGGCATTGCTCAAGCCTTCGCCTAGTGCTACACATGATGTAGTGTCGCAATTTACATCTGACTTTTGTAGAAATCAATATGTTACATATAGTTTAGATAGTTTCGTTCACAGTATTTAATAGCATAAATTATATCACATTATTTAATGTATAAAACGAAACTCAAATTTAAATATTAATTACTATCATGTTCTAAGATTGTTTTAAGCTATGTACTTCTATTTATGAATATATGTATGTGTTCATGTGTGTACGTGTATGTGTAAATGCATGTGTACATGTTGCCTGATTGAACATGATAACTTTGGCAAATGTGTTCCACCTGCAATCAATGACAAAGGGCGCATCCAATTTTACTTGAAGTCCAATGTAGTAAGCAGGAATTTACGTTATAAAATCTTCTGATGTCTAAACATAAATTCGAATGTTTTTTATGTGTACAGCGATTTTGAAAAGAAAAATAATAAATGCATCTTTAAGACCATGGATCCAATTAATTTAAAAGAAAATTGAATTGATCTATTATTAATCTCGTTGTCTGTGACCCCCTTTCCCCATGGGTACGCCTCGGTTACTACCTACTATCAAGAGTTCCTACAAACTATGTTTATGCTATTTAAACTCAGTGCTGTACCACTAAAAGGCTTGGGTCAGAGGTGGTAAATACTCAAAATATATTTTTTAAAGGTTTAACATAATTATTCTTTCAAGATTACTCTGTGTAGCTGATAAAATAAAAATAGTTCTTAGGCATCACTTTGAATACATTAATAATTTTAGTTTAGACATTTCAATTTGCAAATGTTACATACAATCAATAACTATAATGCATTCAATTATTTCTTATTTTCAAATTTGGTTTTATTTGGATACATATGACAACAAAAACTTTCAGTTTCACCTTTAAAGACGTTTAATTCATTTATTTGTAGCGATAAAAATAAATTAAACTGGCTCTTAATATACCAGTATACGTTAAAATAACAAAGCACTTTAAAATATTTTTAAAAAAAATCAATCCAATCAAACCTTAAAATTAATATAATGCTTGCAAATGTTATATTAGAAAAAGCACACGATACAATGATAATGATGTAAGTCATTATCTTAAAATATAAAGATTACACATTTTATTTTTAAATCAAATTAATTAACATTTGTGAAATCATAAATTATTTTAGTTCACAATTATACAAGTCTTTATTATTTTTGTTTAAATTACTTAGTTTGTTTAATAAATCTATACATTTTTAACACGCTTTCTTTCCGCTTATAATAATCTTTCATTGCACATTCTTAGGAAAAATTAAACCTTTTATTGCTATAATATAACACATTTGTAAAAATCGCATGTAACATCGTGTAACGTCTTTCAAGATTTTTTGTTCATTTGGGCTGGATTGGTTGCGAAAATATACGCTTATTCACCACATACATGAGTTATATAAAATGTTAATCACTTCGAGAAAAAAAATATTAACAGTTTCATCATTGCTTTGAAGATATAAATGCGTGCTTTTAAGTCGACCTGGAATTCTTTTCTGTCTCATTTTCACCAGCCCCATTTTCACGAAGAAGTTGGACGATATTTGTATGACCGTGCTTGAAAGCCAAACTCAAAGCTGTAGAGCCCTCGTCGTCTCTTTCATCAATTAATTTTTTTTCTTTAAGTAGCAGCTCAACTATATTCTCCCGTCCACATTCTGATGCTAACATCAAACACGTCTTTCCCTTCGCGGTTTTCACGTTTACATCAGCTTGCCCTCTAATTAATGACTTCGCGATTAGGTCGTATCCATATTGGCACGCATACATTAAGGCGGTATAGCCATAGTTATCTTTCAGATCGACGTCAGCCTTATAATCCATGAGGAGATGTACATAAGTCTCGTGGCATCCTCTAGACGCCAGAATTAATGGTGTCATGCCGTCTTGATTGGTTTTATTAATAAATTCTTTGAGGTTTGTTTGAGGATTTTCATGTGCTAAATTCATGCCTTTTTTGGAACTCACACGCTCGAAAAGCATTTCTGCGATTCCTTGTTGTCCCGTTTCACATGAAATCATCAGGGCCGTCATGCCTTTACTATCCATTTCGTAGATATCAGCTCCCTTTTCAATAAGAAGTTTTGCAATTTTTTCATTGCCTTGTTTAGATGCGTGCATTAAAGCAGTAAAGCCGTTGTTATCTCGATATTTAATACACGAAGGATTAGTATTAATTAGCTCTTGAAGTAAATCGTAGTGTCCATTCTTAGCAGCAGAAAATATGTCCATTTCCAACTGAAATGTAAAAAATGATTCAACCATTTGATAATTTAAAAAAAAAAAATATATACACCATTACTATTATTTTTTAAATTAAAAGTTTTAAGTTATAAATTTACTCCAAAAATATCATAGCATTCTGAATAGTGTGGGGTATAATTATATCTTCCATCATGATAATTTAACAAAACATTAAACTATAATAATAATGCTAATCCCATCAATGATATAAAATTCTAAATTAAAAATCTAAGCAAAACAAAATAGTTTGTTTTGTGTACACATGTTTTAAGAAGAAAGAGAGAAAACAAAAAGAATATATTTTTAATGTAATATTTCAGTCATAAATGTTTATACACAATGTATAAAGTATATATTATATATTTAATGATTTATAAAACTCATAAAAGAATATATTGTTATGTTAAACTGTTTGGCTACTCAATTCTGTCATTATTTATTTATAATTCTTAATTTCTATTTAAAATTATATATATATAGATGAACGGATAGATGCAAGAGTATGCTGTCATTCGTTTAAAAGAGTAATATATCAGGGAATCGTTTGATAAATATGGAGTTGGGTTGATACGGATGAATGTATTATTACAATAACGAATAGAGGGCGAAAATTAAATAAATAGATATTCAGACATATACAAATACGTATAGATCGATAGGTAGATACACATTTAGATAGATAGTTGTCAATGTAATTTAAAAGTTATATACATGAAGGTAAAGATGGTAAGATAAGTAGAAAGGCAGACGTACATGCATACATATATATAGATAGATAGATAGATAGATAGATAGATAGATAGATAGATAGATAGATAGATAGATATATAGATAGATAGATAGATAGATAGATAGATAGATAGATAGATAGATAGATAGATAGATAGATAGATAGATAGATAGATAGATAGATAGATAGATAGATAGATAGATAGATAGATAGATAGATAGATAGATAGATAGATAGATAGATAGATATATAGATATATTAAATACAACTAGATAAGATATGTTGTTTTGTTTATACTCACGGTACTTTCATTTTCTATAAAGAAATAAATATAAATAACTTATCCATTTCAAATACAAATAAATTTTAATTAACACTTTATTCCTTGAAATAAGACATATTTCAAGAGTATCGTATTTTTTAAGGTTTATTCTTAAGTCACCTATTAAATTGTTATGAATAAAATATTGATTAACTACTTTTTTTTTTTTCTTTTGTAATACTAATATATTTATAATTTAATTTTTTTTAAAACAACACACTTTTAATAAAATTTATTTCTATTTACTTGTTGTTTTTTTCTGGGCACTTTTTTATTACGATTTTGCATAAATACGGAAAATATGGTATGGACTTAAGGATTAGAAATGAAACATTTTGTAGTTGGATCTTAAATTACTAACTAGAATCACGCCATGTTTATAATGTACTCACTGTCATAGTATATATTTATAGAATGTTACACTACAGTATTAAGCAATGAAATAACGTTATAGCTACATTAAAATTTAAATAGAGAGGGCACCTACCCTTTCTGTCTTCATTGGCTTCATTTTGTTCTTGTTCATCTAAAAGAAAGCTAATATTTAAAACTTACTCTACACGTATACCAAATGTTTAATTTAATAGCATTATAAGTTTATGCACCTTTTATTAAAATTATGATATTTTAAAATAGCTCACAATTTTAACATCAAAATATTGGCTTTGAGATTGAGTTATTTGTTTAAGAATGCATACCTTTCTTAACTTCTAGTAGAGGCTGGTTATCGTCGTTAAAGTTTACATTTTTGTCTAAAACAATGAAAAGTAAAAACAAAAAAAAGAAGAAGAAATTTAGACATTTTAATTCAAATGTAGCAATGTTTAAAGCATGTTTTATTATTTTTCAAAATGTGTTCAAGAAGAAAAGACAATATTTATTACTTTTGCGTATATATTTGTCATTAAATCTCAAAATTTAACTTTAGAAAAAGTGAAATATCTAAAATTTGAAGAGAAGTTGCCCGTTTGTTTACTAACATTTAAAAGAAAGTAACTTGCTTACCTGGACTTTTAAGACTTGGGGACATGACCATGTCCTCTGAATTATGAGATTTTTCATCTTCTTTATTAGAAATTAAAAAAAATAATAATAATAAAACACTGCTCCTGAATAAATTACTTGGTGTTGTGTGTACTTAAAAAAAATATATTTAAAATATCTGATAAGCCTTAGACATTTTATGAGATTACCCTAACTCCCAGCAGAATTTATACTCAAATCGGAGAGCCTTTAGCAACACTAACTCTTACTACGTAATAATTATTCGAAGTCGTCACCTTAAATGTCGTCTTTTACCTCATCCAATTTTTAATACATTTCCCATGTTTATAGTTTTTAAAAGTAGGCCATTAGGTGGGCTTAGAATTGGTTGCCTAAGCCTGTATGTTATTTCTTTATTAACAACCTTTCTCCTTTTATGCATGCTTAATTTTAGTTCTCTAACAAAACATTTTTTTTTTAAAAACGTACAATGTAATCTGAGCAAAAATAGAAGGCTTAATTGCATATTTGCATGAATATATGTTCTTCTACAAATATAACTAGTTAAAATATTTAGTACAATTTAATTTACCGATATTTTTTTCATTGTTCTTTAGATTTTGTCTATTGTGCCTGAAAAAAAAATATACAAATTGAAAATTAATTTATCAGCCCTTTATTTATTGAAAAATCTAGGATAATATATTTTAATCTTTGGATTTTGGTCTAAATATAATTTTTTCTTACACTTTTTCACAAAACTATAGGCAGTATTTATATAATATTTTACTCACATTTATCTTCACCCTTAAAAACAATATAAAGTGCCTTCACCTTTTTACCAAAATTATAACTAGTAAAACAATTAGTATTAACACGGAGACGGTGACTGCGACTGAGATTATGATAACGTGGTCAACCACCAAACCTCCTTCAGAGGCAGTTTCATCAAAGTCTGCGTATGAGAAGAAACATAGTTACGTAAAAAAAAACATTATTTGAATTTAAAGATTTCTAACAAACTAAAGAAGTATGTTTAATTATATAGAAGTGTAAATTTAATAAAAATCATCAGATAATGTCAAAAGTAATACAATTTATGTATATATATATATATATATATATATATATATATATATATATATATATATATATATATATATATATGTGATATATATATATAGAAGTGTAAATATAAAAAAAATCATCAGATAATGTCAAAAGTAATACAATATATATATATATATATATATATATATATATATATATATATATATATATATATATATATATATATACATTAGTATGCGAAACAAATTCATAAATTCTTGAACAAATTATTAGTATTTGAATTTGGCATGTTTTGAGTTATAGCCTAAAAAATCCTTTTAAAACATTTAGTACATCCAGAAAATTATATTCAATTATGAAATAAGTTATTTAAAGTAGGATATAAATGGCTTGAAAGACCATTAGTATTTGGAGGCAACTGTCGTTAAGGCTTTAGATTGTATTTGTCAATTTTTCAATTGTAACACATTTTTCCTAAAGTTTAAACAAACTTTATGTCTTTAGTAACCCGATTACTACCATATTTTTATAAACCCGATTTACAAGCGAAATATAGCTAATTTATTTAATAATAATTTAGTAAATGTATGTATAAACATATAATTCAGAAGAAAAACTTGTAAAAAAACCCAATTAAAACAATGACATATTTACCTGTTTTGATAAAACACCTTAAATTGTTGACCTTTCCATTGAGGCTGCAGGCAGCGTATTTAATGCTGATCAACATTTCAAGTCCACTTTGAACTTGTTCTTTAAATACTGCGCGATCTGCAGTCTGGTTTATCACAATTGTATCATCAACTTTGACCTCTATCACACAGGGCGTGTCGGGATTTGAGCACTCAAACTCAACAATCAAACTCGTGACATCAATGGTTTTTGTACAATTCATTTCGCTTGACATTTTCTCGCCGTTTATTTGTAACTGTCCTGTTGAATCAGCAGTTTCTGTGATGTGAAATTTAAACTCAATATACATTTTAGGCAGCAAACGAAAAAATAGCATCATTTTTAAAGTTATTTTGTTTTTTGTTCATAAATACGACAAAACATAATATGTTAAAAGAACACAATTAAAATTAAATTTCAGATCAAATTATTTTAATTACCTTTTTCTATGTTTCCATGTGTTTTAATATAACGATGTTAAACTATAAAAACAGTGCTTTATACAATTATTTTGCTGCCCTTTTTGAAACTACTTGTCAGCTTTTTTAAAAATTTAATTCATTTTTTTATGTTGTTTGTTCGCTGACGAAGGCTTTCTGCCAACATGTTCTTTGTTTTTGTGCGTTCCTGCTTTCAGGTTTTCCCATTCTTTGTTTTACTCATTTGCTTTTTATAAATATTAATTACACAAATAAATTTATTAATATGTATTTATGATCAACACTGTATATGTATATAAATTAATAATATTAAAATGTAATCACTGAATAACTATACGTTTTAATTTATATTTTCAAAACAAAAATGTTACCATTAGCCCCAGACAACTCTTTGACGTCACTGGCTAGGACAGTTTTGTTGTAGTGGATAACCTGACCCCTTATCTTATCACCACTTTCGTTTCGCAAGGCGACGTCAATTATAAAAAGACCATCTCCAATTTTCCGGCAATGATGGTTTATCTCCAGCTTTAACCACGAACATTCATAGGCTATTGATACGTCAAATAGCTGAAACAAAGACGGTATTGTTATAGAACATTATATGACATGTATTCCATGTGTTGCGACAAATGTTAAGTCTGCAGATAATAGAAACAAAAGGTAGCACACTTTTCCCTACTGCTTTTACTTTTAAAACACTACTTTAGCCCAAATTACGTTGCAACTACTTTTTTAATTACATACATTTATATTGGAAATTAAAATGGATTTATTTCTATGTTAAGAGACGGACATAAAATGTAAGATAAACGGTATGGATTTTCCAACTTTAACATTTTGCTTTTTTAATTATACAGATAAGAACTGCTTCCAAATGCAGCAGTATGCAAGGCTTTGACATGTCTTATGAATAGTAATAATACATTCGAAACCGCTGAGACATTAAGTGTTATCGCCTTTTCAGAGCTACACTGAAAGCTCATAAATGAGAAGACGTTGGCCCATTTACGTTCAAACCAAGCATTTAATCCTCCGACTGCTGCCTAACGACGTACCCCTCCTTCCACCCAAATCATAAAGTATTCCCTTGCTTAAAATAATTGTATCAAAGCCGGTAAAGTAAATTATAATAATACCTATGAATTCAAGTTTTGCATACCTTCTTCAGATATTTCATACATTTAATAATGAATATTTTTTTGTTTTCTTTATTATTTTGGGTTACGTTTTAATAAATTAGCCCTTTGAATTAATCCACTTGAATGATGACATTATTTACCCATCCAGTTGTTATTTATTATCAACAACGCATTGTATTTCCCATATTTCAACAGACTCCATCACAACTTTTTACCCTGATTTAGAAAGCAACAAAATACACTTAAAAAAGAACAAGGTTAAAAAATATTATTATCATGCATTTCCGCTATAACTAATCTCTTCAAACTATACCTAAGCGCGTAGAAATCTTCAGAAGCTAATAACGTATTTTGGAAGAAAAAAAATCTTACAAAAGTATAGTCATTGCTGTTCTTTCTGAGTATCTCAAACTGAACAGTGGTGTAATCCTCCAGCTGTTTATTTAACTTCACTGTGGCATTGAAGAAGTAGCTGAAAGAATTATCTACTAATCCGCTTGTTTCTATTTTTGTACAATCTCTTCGTCTCAGTTTATTCAAATGTATCTCCTGACAATAAATTGGGTCTGAAAAAGAATGGATCGTTTTGAACATTGTATAGAACAATTACAAAATAAGTAATTAAAAAAACAAAAAAAAAACTGTTATATTCTTCATTGATAATTATGAAACTATTATCATGTTTTTAAATATTGTCTTGTACAAAAATTAATTAAATGCAGTAATTTGATTCTCCGGACAATGCATGGGCTCTGAAAAACAAGTACGCATTTCTAAACATTATAGAGAACAATTTAAAAAAATATAATTTTCTTCATTGATAGTTATGATATTATTATCATGTTTGTAAATGTTGTTTTTTATACAAATCAATGTATTGTAGCAAACATGATGTTTCAGCAAAAGTGAAGTTATTTGTAAATGTTGCATACATTGTTATAATCTAACGATCTAAATTGTGAAATTCACTTATCTATTCTTCTGACAATTTAGAAGATTCCAACAGTAGCATTTTTCTCTATCTACTAGTGGGGATTAAATTCATTTCATCTTTTCTCGATTTGCTTTTCTATAAATCAAATTTTATAAAATATTTTCAAAATATCATACCTCAAACTCTCTATCTCACGAAAAAAAAACATATGAAAAATGAATTCATATAAATATTTTAATACAATTAAGGATATGTAAAAAGTTTATGCAATGGAAATTCACAGTGGAATCATAATAATAGTACTTGTATTTCTATTTATGAATAATACACTATTATTTTTTTCTCTTTACCTGGCAGGGAAGCAATGGTGATCAACACGACCCAACAACTAGGACTTTTCATTCTGTATTAACACGTTTCACAAAAATAAATTTCACTTCCTCTGAATCACAATTATGTGTTGGGTGATCCTTAGCCCAATTTCAATATAGTATATGTACCGTCTCCCCTACACATATAAGCATTGTCCTCAATTGGAAAAAAAAATCTTTAATTTGTTTAATTCAGTTTGTGTGGATTTCCTTTAACCTCTCCGCTTTCCCACTCGTATTTCTCTTTCTACATTGAACAGTGACACTATACTATGGAGATTTCCGATATTCTTTAAAGGATTGAAGCATCCAAAGAGACGCATTTTGTAGTTGTATTGATTATTGTTTATCATATCAGTTTGAGTGTGCTGCTCAAGTCAAGGTTAAAAAATAATTTAAAAAATACATTAACTTGTGGCTTTTATTGATCGTTTTTCCCCTTATATTTCTTGAACTGATACTGATAAGTAATTCGTAATTAAAAAAAGCCATAATAATAAGAATAAAACTGATGCTTAAATTGGAAAGGAAAAAGGAAATATGCAGTTCTCTTTTTAAGTAAAATGATGGTCATCTTGACATGCAATGAAACAGTTTTAATAGGTTCATTAAACGCGTGTTTATTGCACATAGTCTAAGCTTCTGGTGGTAAAAAGCAATGCAACGTTTAAGATTTGTAAAATAATGTTTGAGAGAATGTCAATGGGTGGCCTCATTGCATCGACAACAGTTTATTTCCTTTATATTAAACAAAACACAGTTGACATACATAGTCAATTTATATTAATCACCTGATCCTTTCATATAATGTATAGAGACTAGACTATGAGTTATTCCCCCAGAGTATCTAAAAAGACCCTTCGAAAATACAACAATGCACAATTGTAATAATCGTGTTTTATATATATATATATATATATAAGCGTCAAATAGAATTACATAGTGGTCATATTTCATTTTGCAATCTTGACTTTATCAAGTCTAATTTTGTTTCTTTCTTCATGACCGCGTCAACAGGATATCCCTGGCAAGTGCTGTTCACTATGGGTATTCCAGGTATGGCCAGGTCTATTGGTGCTGGTAGCGGGTAAATCTTTGAATATATTTAGTCAGAGAACTATTAGTCACGCAAAGGAAATCATTTTTTTTTTTTTTAAATTTACTTTTGTGTGCTCTTAGGTGTGATAGGCATTCACCCAGCTTAAAATATGACTGGTAATTTCAGCTTTTTTTTGCTGGAAGACCATTCCAACGAATAAACATGATATGTGCACATATAAACGTATAGACAGCAAGCGTTAGAAGATTAAGATAATGACGCATGGGCGGACTGGCAGGGCAGACAGAGCTAACAGCATATCCACAAATATAAAAACCCGACAGATCGATTGAGCCAATAGTTTAACATTAAAACTGCGTGTTTAGCAATACGCTTTGGCTACAAGCCATGTGTTATTGAATTGAATCAACGACACTGTGCCCTTGAGGTACAGTTCTTTTCTGTAAACGTAATTTTCAAGTTTCTGTCATGAAACCCCTTACATGTTAGGGCTTTACTTTTTTCTTTTTTTAAGTGTACTTCTGATGGCGTTGTTGTTTGAAATCGCTAGTGACATTTCATAAGTGTTATGTTATGAACATGTTTTTTTTTATCACTACACTATTTTAATTGATAACATGTTGATATTAGGTTGCGTGTCGCTAAAGGTGTATTTAATCTTTATAATTAACGTGTGCCAACGTTATTCCTCTTTAAATGAAAATCTCCATTAATCATTATCATACCCCATTAGGAATCATCTGCATTTTCTGCATTTACAAACTTACCTTTGAAACTTTACCCCTAACTGAGCAACTCGTTTTACTTGCAAAACCAAATTATTCTAAAAATCGAGCCACCCCCCCCCCCCCTCTTGTTTACTAATCAGAGCCCACAACCTGGAAGCCCCTCCCCTTACCGGATTCACAACTCTACACGCTTGAATGTGTACTATATCTGCATACCGCTTAAGTGGATGTATCATGTTACACGACCCGTATATGACATGACTGAAAATAACCGTAACTATAATATTATTGTTTTATTTTACAACCTTGAAAAAGATTAAGTTTATGAGTAGCAGGCAAGGTGTTGACTGGTGCACTATGGGAAGTTTAATGTAAGATAAGCAACGCTAGCCACACGCACATACACACAGAGAGAAATATATATATATATATATATATATATATATATACATAATTAAATAATACGTATGATTTCATGCACATTTATTTGTGGTTAAATGTCACCCACACAACACACGCCGTTGCGATTGATAATGAATAACATGTTGGAACACAATCTGATAGTCCTATCTATTCGATTTCAAAAGAGATATAAAAAGCCAATGTTACACATTGATAAAATGCCATGAATTTTTATATCGCGTGTTTTATAGATAGTGTATACAATCTAATGATAAAGAAATTGAAAAGTAAGTACATTTGACCAATATAGAGAAACACATTTAATTTAGCTCACCAATCTATACAATTTAATTTGTTACGTTATTAGCATTTGAAAGACAGGTAAATGTAATTTAAATTTGGAAAAAGGGTTTCAGTTGCATTAAAAACTTAGTATAGAAAATGGTTGTATAAGATATGTCTATTTTTTAAAGTCTTTTTTTAAAATTTTATTACGCATTTCATGCCACATAATGAAAAAAAAAACCAAGATATTATTCTAAATTGATTATGTGTCTCCATTCTTTTCAAATCATTGACGTCACTCATTTCAAACAACACGCTTCGAATGTCTTCTCAATTCTTTGACTTACAAACGCTCATCACTGGTGGAACGTTTTCGCAAAGGTAGGAGGATGGTTTTCATGTCATCTGTGGTGCCCCAACGGTCCAAGGACTAAGGACATGATGATGATGATGATGATTCATTCTAGTTCTCGCATGGCTCCTCTTAATCGTCATGATCAGGGGTATTTAACCCCCATGGGATTGAAGGAATGATGACATTGTTCCCCTGAAGTCAACAGTTAATGGTGTAAAAAGGTGTTTGTAGATAATGCTTCGTTCTGTTATCGCGAACTCATTTAGCTTGAATATCATGATATTATTTACTGCTAACTGGGACTTTGGGTTCTACAAATGCAACACTTATTCCCCGATTTAAGTCACACTGACTATAAGAATAACAGTGTTTAATCCATGTTTCTTTTTAGCCAACCCTTTAAACTTAATAAGTGTTGGAACTGCGTCAGAATTATGCTACCTGTCCGTGCCTATTTTTTTGATTTTAAAAATGGGTAATGATATAAAAACGTATTTTGAAACACACAAAGTTGCCTTTGTAATTTTATATGTCATTCATGTTGAAACTGATGCACTATGTTGCTCTGTTACTAGGTAAAAACGAAATTTATAAAATGCTGAATTTGTATTATAATTTTTTTTATAACACCCATTAAAAATTTTAAAAAAAAATATGTTGGAAACTTTTTACAGCATTATTCACAACTCAAATCACTTCCTTCTTTGTGTTACACTTTGCATGTTGTAACATAACATAAGGGATTGATTGTTTTATAGCAAAAATTGTAGCTTTCTTTCCCTAGAAAATCAGAATAAGATCTGGTTTTCCCGTATTCACCTGTAGTTTATGAAGATCGGTATGCATGCTGAAGTTGAATTAAATGAAACTAAAAGAGTTATGTTTTTCAATATAGCATGTCTTTAAAAAGATATGATTTATTTTTTTCATTTCTTAGTACATATATAAGATAGTTAGCTAAATTCTTTAATATATATATTTATATGTATATATATATATATATATATATATATATATATATCTTTATATATATAGTATATATATATATTGGAGATTTGCAAACACACCAGCCTATATCAATAAAAAACAATCAAAGTAAATGACTCGTATTATTATGATGAATGATCAAGAAGCATCATTCATATTCATTCTCTCGTAATCATAAAGCAAACAAAGTAATTCAGGTTTCATTTATGTTTAAACTGATGTAACATGTTTTTATCTTTCTACTTTATAAATTTGATATAGACAACAAACGACGGCCAAAATAAAACAGATAATACATTTACATCTTTTTTTGATTTGGATTATAAAGCAAATCTAACTACATATTTATAATGTATTATTAATTTTTGTTTCCATTTACATATCTCATTACCATTTACGTTTTTCGTGACTGACAAAAACAGTGCAATAAGTAATTGAAAAGAAAATGTATGTATTAAAAAAAATGGCAAATACATTTCTTTGTCTACGAGTATAGGTTAGATGACCTATACAATAGACAATAAACACAAGAGTCACAAAACTCTGCAATAATTTCTTCTTTATTGACGCATTTGGAACTTATTATTATTTTTTCTTCTACAAGCAAGTCTCTAAATTGTGAATGTGTGTGTTGGTTAAAAAAATGTAAAGGCCCAATTTTATATTACACATTTACTTAATAGGTTTAGATTTACTTTTACTTATTGTAACCTCTTAACCCAAAAATAGATGCGCCTTTGCTCCCTTTCAACAAGCCACTTGTGCTTAGCTCTCAAAAATTTCAGGTGAATGCAATATTAATATTGAAACCAAGCGCCACAGAAGCATTATATTACAATAACTTGGCATTTCTAAAAGCAAAGGAAAACTCTATAATAGTAAATAAAACTAAGGGACGTTATTACACAATAACTTGTTATCTAATTTTGAAGTAGCAACATTGTTTTCACAGTTTATTGATGTATATATATATATATATATATATATATATATATATATATATATATATATATATATATAATATATATATATAAAAATATAAGTATATATATATTTACATATATTATATATATATATATATATATATATATATAATAATAATAATAATAATAATAAAGTTCATTTCTAAAACACGCTTCATCCCCAAAGGCTCGAAGCCCGGTACAAAGTCAACAAAAAACATATCTATAATTAATCACATTTAAAACAAACGCAACACTACAAAAACTAATTAATTACAAGCATTCAATGTGAAAGTAATTCTAGCCATTTCAACCCCAAGAAACACAGCCATTATGCATTACTGTAATATAAGGTAGACAATCATCTCAGACGGTGTTTGCGAAATAGATGTGTCTTTAAATTGGTTTTAAAGCATCGACAGGAAGGGAGTTCCAAATTGTTGGACCAGCAAACGCAAAAGTGCGCTTTCCGTAAGTCTCAAGGCAAACACGTGGTGTCAAGAGTTTGCCACTATCGGATGAGCGGAGCTCTCTAATGGGTACATAAGGCGTCAGCAGCTCTTTCAGATAGGACGGCGCCAGGTCATGTAAGCAGCTGTAGCACAAAGTTGCGATTTTGTACTCTATGCGAGCACGCACCAGCAGCCAATGCAACTCTCTCAGAAGTGTTTTTGCATGGTCGAACTTGCGTTTGAGGAGAACAATGCAAGCCGCATTAGTCTGTGCTATTTGAATTTTATCCAGAAGCGTAGCTGGAAGACCCACCATGAGAGCGTTGCAATAGTCCATGCGTGATAGCACAAATGAAGACATCAGCCTCTTTGTTGCATCAATTGTTAGGAAGGGCCTGATGTGACTAATCCTGCGCAGCTCCAGAAAAATCGCCTTGCATAGCATGTTAATATGACTTTCAAAAATTAGTCTTCTATCTAGTTAGACACCCAGGTACCGCACTGTTTGAGCTAACTCAATACGCACACCTGAGAGAGTAATGGATGTCGTGTTTTTTGCAGATTTTTGCTTCTAAGCGGTCACGATGGGGAGCAGCTTAGTCGTATCATCATTTAATTTTAGCTTGTTTATGGTCATCAAGTGCTTAACCGACTCCATTGTCTTCTGTGTCATGCTAAGCAGCTGAGGGAACTGAGAAGGGATCACGGATTGATGAAGTTATGTATCGTCCACGAACATGTGATACAACGTGTCAAACTGCCATACATATTTAGATAACCGATTGAATAATATTTGGTTAAACATAATAAAACACATATTCATTTTTTTTTTAATTTTATTAAACCAAAGAAAACACGAATTGGTAAAACATTTTTAATCTTTAAATAAGTTGTATTTATTACTTTTATGTAGTAGAAACCAATCATACATACATTTTTTTAAAAAAAGTCATTATTTCCTTTATCTGGGTCCCTATTTCCATACTCTTCTTCTTCTTCTATATCTTAAGGGCCCACGATCAATTTATTGATCATTTTGGCTCCTATGCATGTCGGTCTTCCTGTATTTACGATAATCTCCACTGTTTTATTCATGTATTTATTGCAATAAGGTTTGATCAATTTTATTAAATTGTGTTTGTTACTTTAATGATTTAAAAAATATAATTAACGCTAAACTGACTTTTTTATTTGCCACTTTATCATCAGCTCCATGTTGTTTGAGAAATTTGTTTTATTTTGATCTGATTTCTCATCATACAGTCAAAGCTGTAAAACCCTCATCGTCTCTTTCATTCACAAACGCGTTATGCTCAAGTAACATTTCAACTGTCTCCAAATGTCCTTCATCTGCTGCTAACATCAGACACGTTCTTCCATTGTTGTTTTTCTTGTTTACCTCCATTTGTCTTTTAATTAGTGACCGGGCGATGAATTCGAATCCACGTTAACCTATATCAGGGTTGTATTGCCGTTACAGTCCATAAAATCGACTTCAGCATTGTAATCAATAAGATCATTCACAATAGACTGGTTTCCTTTCCTAGACGCTAACATTAAGGCTGTCATTCCATCTTTATTTGCGTCGTTAACAAATGATTTGAAGTTATCTTGAGGGAAATCTCCTAGCAATAAATGGACACCTTTAATTTTACTAATGCGCTAAAGCAATATTTTATCTATTTCCCTGTGTTCATCCCACATGCAAACATCATAGCATTCATTCCTTTATGACCGTTAATAAGAATATCAGCTTCATTTTCAATAAGTAGCGATTCGTTCGCATCCTTCACAAGATGTTTGCATTAAAGCAGTATACCCAGCTTTATCTTAAGCATTGATAGACTCAGGCATAGTAATTAATAATATCTTGAACTGTTTCAAAAGATCCAGTCTTCACAGCAAAAAATATGTCCATGTTCAAAAGAAGGGAGAAAAAAGTTGCCTAGATGTAAGTCATCAGTCGCCGGACGACTCAATGGTTATCGTCGATCGTTTACAGACGAACAATAATATATATATATATANATATATATATATATATTGCTTAAGTAAAACAATGAAATTATAGTATAATTCAATTAAAATCAATATGACATGCACATGTGTTCTTCAGTGGTTTCATTTGGTCCTGGTTCATCTAAAAGAAAAGTAAAATGTAAAGCTTAGTTTACACGTGCAACAAATGTTACATTTAACCGCCTAATTGTATTTATAAACACAATATTAATAATAAAACGATAATAAAAACGCACAATCTCAATTATATCATTAAAAAAGTATCTTTTAAATTTAGTTATTATTCCAACTATGCATACCTCCGTTCTCTTCCAGTAAAAGTCGTTTAGCTTCAAAATATTTTATATCTGTGTATAATGAAAAGAATTATACGTTTTTTTAAAATATTTACAATTCTAGCAACGTTTAAGAGCCTGTTTACTTTCATTTAAAATGTGCACGTTATTAATGCATTTTTAATAAAAGTAAATAAATCGTTAACAAATAATGAAAAAAGAAATTAAACCACACTAAAAAGCAAAATGTGTCGTATATAAAAAATAATATATAAATAATATATAAAATGTAATATAAACACATTGGGGTGGATCTGATAATTCCGCAAAAAACATCTATTTAATTTACACTTTTTATAACTATACAAACTAGTACTTTATGCCCCCCCCCCAACCCCAATTGCCTGACAATCTGACGGGGTTTTTTACGGCCCTGATCTATTATATTCTAATGACCCATTTACACTGAAGATTTATGACACAAACTATTTCAGAAAGAAAAAAAGAAAATGTCACGCACCAAAAACATGTACAATATGTTGTTTTTTTTTAAAGAATCTCATTTAGCGCAGTTATCAGTTATATTAATTCATAAATCAGTGGCACCATATTTCCTTTTAATTTCACCTTAAAATAACTGAATTTTAGGGTTTTAAGGGTGGAACTCAAAATTTGAAACAAATGATTTGTCATGGGCTACACGTCCATATGAAAAAATTTATCTTAAAAACTTGACCGAATATTGGTAGATTATCTGTCCGAAAATTATGCCCCACATCAAGCCAGAAAGGAAGAAGCACACCAACAAAAGAGAAGTTAATATAAAAAAATAAAAAAAAATAAAAAAAATAATACTAATAATGTTGGCCCTTTGTCTACTAACCTTTACAAAATCGGACATTCTTATCTGAACCGTTTAAAACTAGGGTTATGTCTCTGTTCTCCTCATTATTACGTTCGTCCTTTCCTTTATTAAAAATACAACAAATATTAAAAACAACACTGCTATACTAAGTCTTCGGGCATTTCTAAAAACCTTAAAATTAACATATAGTCATATTAACAGGGGGCATATGATTATGAATAATTCTAAATTAACGACATTTCTACTTTAAAGCATGTGTACTTTAAGTTTTCTTACATAAAATTATTTTACAAAATATTCAATCTAATTAGGTTTTAAAAGTAGGCATCCATGCATATTTGTATGATTATGTATTTCTACAAACACAACTAGTTAACCATAAGGAAATAATTTTGTAAAAGTTTATTTACCGATACTATTTTTATTTGTTGTTATCTTTTGTCTTTTGTGCCTGAAATAATAAAACACAAGTTAATTATCAATGAATTTTTCTATCATATATTGATACAATGAATTTGAGACTGAATATAATAATTTACATTTTTTTTTTGTTATGCACAACATCTTTAGCATCACCAAAATTTAAAAAACAAATTTAAACAAATTAAGCCTCATTTTTTAACTGAACAGAAAGAGCATTTTTACCTTTTTACTAAAAATATAACTAGTAAAACAATGAGTATTAACACGGAGGCAACAACTGCAAGTGAGATTATCAAAAAGTAGTTTATACCCATACATCCGTCAGTGCCACTTTCATCAATTACTGCGGATGAAAGGGAAGAAAGTTACGATTAAGTAATACAATATTTATATAATATATATATATATATAGGTCTGGAAACCAAGTTCATTGACTTTAAAATAATATTATCAATATTCAAAAGCGGGGTTGTTTTTGGGTTGTTTTTTTTTTTAATTTATTAATATCCAAAATAAATCCTTAAAAGAATAACTTTTGTCACGTGCTAAGAAAGGGAGATTTAGTTATGAAAGTACTTATCTAAAGCATGATGTACTTTTGACTCCAATATTATATAAATAGACATTGTAGTTTTAAGTTGTATTTGTCAATATTTCGTGGATAGCAGATTTAATCTACAGTTTAACCAATCATCAGTCTTCGTTAACCCTGTTTCTATCAGATTTTAATTAACAATTTTTCCCACTGAAATACAGCTTTTTAACAATGTATTAATAAATGAATAAATTTTAAAGTTTTTCCGTTCCTTCGTTGATTTGAAAATACTTTTTTTGACAAATATTGTTGTTTAAATTTATTAAGTGTTACTAAGGAAATCATTTTTACAAACATTAAATAAAGAAGATGAGTGTTTTTAAAAACAGAAAAAAATTCCCAGTAAACTATTTACCTATCTTGATAAAACACCTCAACTGGTTGACTTTGCCATTCAAGTTGCAGGCACCATAGTTAATGCTCACTAACATGTCACGTTCACTTTGAACTTGATCCTCATAAACAGCATAATCCGTATTCTGGTCTATCACAATGGCATCATCAACTTTGACCTCTATCACACAGGGCGCGTCCGGATTTGAGCACTCAAACTCGACAATCAAATCCTTGACATCAATGATCTTTGTACAATTCATATCGCTTGACATTTCCTCACCATTTATTTTTAAGACCCCAGTTGATTCAGCAGTTTCTGTAATGTTAGATTTAAACTTAATATAGTCTTTAGTCGGAGATTTAAACTTAAAATACTTTTTAGGCAGCAAACCTAAAATAGCGTCCTTATAAAAGTTGCATTGTTATTTTTTTTATAAATATTATAGAAAATAATATTAAAAGAACAAAATACTAATTAAATTTCAGCTCTGATTATTTTAATTACATTTTTCTATGTTTCCATCTGTTTTTAAAGTACGAAGTTAAACTCTCTAAGTCGTCGCTTTATATGATTCCCCCCCCCCCCCTTGGTTTCTTTTTTCATGTTTTGTTCATTTTTTTTTTATATTTTTTTTTTTTGTTTCCCCCCCCCCCCCCTCTTGGATTCTATTTTTCAGTATTGGTCATTTTTATTTTAAATTCTTTATTTTTCCACTTTTTTTTCTTTTTGCTAACGAAGGCTTTCTACCAACACGCTCGTTTGTGACGTACGTTCCTTTTTTAGGTTATACCATACATTTTTAATCATTTGCATTTAAAAGATATTAATTACACAAATAAATATTGAAATATATATTTATATACACGCATGACCAGCATAGTATATGTTTAAATTAAAAACATTTATATGTAACCATTGAAGAAAGACATGTTTTTATTTATATTTTCAATAATATTTTACCATTATCTCCAGACAACTCTTTGACGTCAGTGGCTAAGACAGATTTATTGTAGTGGATAACCTGACCCCTAATCTTATCACCACTTTCGTTTCGCAGGAAGACGTCAATGTTAAAGATGCCATCTCCTATTTTCTTGCACTGATGGCTTATCTCCAGTTTCAAACCTAAGCACTCGTAGGCTATGGGTACGTCAAATAACTGAAACAAGGGTGTTATTTTTACAACAGATTATAGGATAAGTATTCCTAGTGTAGCGACACATGCTAAGTGTGCAGATTATACAAAAACAAAAGGTTGCACACTTTTCCTTAGAACCCACATTACGTTGAAACTACTTTTTAAATTGCGTATTTCTATATGGGAAATTGTATGGATTTATGTTTGTTTTCACAAACATGCATATAATTTCAATGATAAACGGTATGGATTTTCCAACGTTAACTTTTTGTGTTTTGAATTTCAAAGATAAAACTGCCTAATAAATGCAGCAGTATGTAAGGCATGGGCCTGCCTTATCAATTGTAATAATAAATTCGAAACCGCTGAGACTGTAAATTTTATTGCTTTCCAGAGCTACTCTAAAAGCTAATAAATGAGAAGACTTTGACCCATTTACGTTTAAACCAAATGTTTAATCCTCTGATTTGTTGACGTAGCCTACCACCAACCCCACTCACAAAGTATGCCCTGCCATAAAATAGGTATCTCAAAACCCGGAAAAATTAAATTATTTGATTTTTTTTTTTTTTTAATTATTTTCTTTACGTTTGAATAAATCAGCGTCTGAATCAATCCACTTTAATAATAAAATAGTTTACGCATCCTGTTTTCCCTTTATTTTCAGCAGCAAATTATATTAAGAGCGTGTCATCATTCAAAAGAACCAATTATAACTTTTTACTCGGTTTTTAATGAGTTAGAAAGAAACTAAGACAAAACATTTTTTATTGTTTTTATTTTTACAAAATTATATTATCATGTATATTTCCTTTGACTAATTTCATAAAAAATAAAACATATGAAAGTAAAACTGCAGAGTGAACAAAATAATTTTGGGGAAAAAAAAAAAGCTTACAAAAGAATAGTCTTTGCTGTTCCTTCTGAGTATCTCAAACTGAACAATAGTGTAATCCTCCAGCTGTTTACTTAGCTTCACGGTGGCATTGAAGAAATAGCTGAAAAATGTATCTACTAATCCGACTGTTTCCATTTGTGTACAATCTGTTCTTCTCAGTTCATTTAACTGTATCTCCTGACAATAAATGTGTTCTGAAACAAGGACGCATTTTATACAAGATAGAGCGCAATAAAAAAAATAATGTAAAAAAAACAAAAACAAAACAAAAACAAACGATAATATTATTCATTGATAATGATGAGACAATTATCTTAATGTTAAATACTGTCTTGTAGAAGAAAATACTGAAATGCAGTAAATATGATGTTTCTGCAAAAGTTGAGTTATTTGTAAATGGTGAATGCAAAGTAATAATATGCCAATTAAAATGAAGAATTCACTAAACTATGCTTCTTAAAATTTAGAATATTCCACGTGTAACACTTTTTCCTGCCTACCAGTGGCGATTGCACTCATCACTTTCCTGCCCTGTAGGCCTACATCTTACACCTTTAAATCGACGTTTACTAAACTATCCCAAAATCTCATCCTCTATCCCTCAAATTCACTATCTTAGAAAAAAATAAATAAAAGACATTCAATAATCATTTCGTGTAAGCGTTTTAATACCCTTAAGGATATTTTAGAAGTTTATATAAGAGACAATAACAATAGAATAATAATAACAATAATTAAATGTATATTTATGAACTACAATTTTTTTATTTTTTTTACCTGGCAGGAAAAGAATGGCGATTAAACCGATCCAGCAACAAAGACTTTTCATTCTGAAAAACACAATCTAACACATTGAAATTATATAAAAGAAGTCTGTATATTATTATCCATATTTATTAAGTTTCCTTAACAGCTGATTTGTTGTTTAGATAAACACAATTGTGGCGGTATAACATAAAAAAAATTAACGAGTTTCACAAAACATTGCTCTGAATCACAATTGTTGGTTATTGTTTCTTGGTCCCATTTAAGTCGAGTATATATATCGTCTTCCCTACACATAAAAAAAAAATGTCCACAATCGGAAAAATCGTAAATTTTATTTAAATCTGTTAGAGTGGATTTCCCTCAACTTCTCGGTTTCCCTTCTTTTCTATGTTTCTCTATTGAACAGTGATACACTATTATGGACATTTTAGATATTCGTTTTAGGATCGAAGTATCCATGGGTCGCATTTTTTATATTTATATTTGTTTTTATAAGTTTAGGCACGCTGTTCAGGTCAAGGTTAAAAAAATAAATGACGAAAAGAACTAACTTGGGGCTTATAGTCTTCGCGTTATTCGGTATACTTATTTCATTGATGCCTATCAGTAAATCGGGGTCGAGGAAGCCCTTATATTAAGAATACATTTACTGATTAAAAGAGAATGGGAAAAAAGAAAAATGCATTTCTCGTCCTAAGTAACGAGAGAACGAAAATGTAATCTTGACATGCAATGCACCAGTTTTAATAGTTTCATTAAACATGCGCTTATTGCAGATAGACTCATCGTAAGTAGCAAGAAAGCAATGCATCAATTAAGATTTGTTAAATGATATTTGATAAATGTAAATAGTTGAATATATTGCATCGGCAATAGCTAATTATCAATATATCAATTAAAAACTTATTCGTATTAATCATCAGATGCATCATTTATAAAATCTTTATTAACACGACTAAAAATGACAGCACTATTAGTATCTAAATATAGCAATGCACAATGATAATCGTCAGTAAAGAATTTGCTTTCTAAAAACAAAAAGCGTCATAAATAGAAAACAATGCGGCCATATTGCATTTAAAGTCTTCAGATTTATGATGCCTATTTTTGTTTCCCTCATCATGACTGGGTCGACACGTAATCCTACGCAAGTCTTGTTCACTATTGGTATTCCAGGTATGACCTAGTCTACTTGTGCTTGTAGCCGGTAAACGTTTGAATAGTGTTAGTCATAATGCCTTCAGCCACTTTATTGATAACGCATGGTTGCTTTAAAAAACAACAACACCGTATTATTTTGTTTGTGCTTAGGTTTATGGATATTGACACACGTTAAAACATGAATCGTAAGTTCAGCTTGTATGTAAGAAGGACAAACGAACCAGTAAACATAATATATACAACATATACATTTATAAAGATGAGATAGATAGATAGATAGATAGATAGATAGATAGATAGATAGATAGATAGATAGATAGATAGATAGATAGATAGATAGATAGATAGATAGATAGATAGATAGATAGATAGATAGGGAGGGAGGGAGGGAGGGAGGGAGGGATGGATGGATGGAGGGATGGATGGATGGATGGATGGATGGATGGATGGATGGATGGATGGATGGATGGATGGATGGATGGATGGATGGATGGATGGATATATGGATGGATAGATGGATAGAAGATGGATAGAAGATGGATGGATGGATGGATGGATGGATTGATTAGATGGATGGATGGATGGATGGATGGATGGATGGATGGATGGATGGATCGATGGATGGATGGATGGATGGATAGATGGATAGATGGATAGATAGATAGATTACATCAGATAGATACACCAGTCTATCAGACACCAATTATTGGTCACCAGTCTATCAGGCACCAATTTATTAGGCACCAGTCTATCTATCAGCAACCAATTTTTTGGACAACAGTCTATCAGATACCAATTATTGGTCACCAGTCTATCAGATACTAATTTATTAGACACCAGTCTATCTATCAGCAACAAATTTATTGGACAACAGTCTATCAGACACCAATTGTTGGTCACCAGTCTATCAGAAAACAATTTATTGGTCACCAGTCTATCAGAAAACAATTTATTAGACACCAGACTATCTATCAGCAACCAATTTTTCAGACACCAGTCTATCAGACACCAATTATTCGTCACCAGTTCATCAGACAACAATTTATTGGACACCAGTCTATCAGACACCAAATTCAGTGGACACCATCAGACTACAATTTATTAGACACCTGTCTATCAGACACCAAATTTATAGGACACCTGTCTATCAGACACCCATCTATCAGATTTTAATGAATCCTACCTAAATCTGTTCGATCCCAGTCGACCCATCCATAGCCTCTCGGACGCCACTGCTTCTCACGGTCCCCTGTTTGTAGACGTAACCCTTGCCATCTGCCCGGGGCGTGTTCGGGATTTGTTCACTTTCTGGGCCGACGATAATAGGTGAGAACACGGGCCATGTTGTGTGAGACTGTTATGTAAGCATGACCTTACTCGCGCCGTGAGTGCCAAAGGTCGACAAGGACGAAACAACATGAATAGAAAGAGTTCTACTTTACCTATCTCGCGTGCAGGGTACATCCACCAAGTTTTGAGGGCTGGAGGAGCTCCTCCCCCAAAAAAATATTAAACCAGTGATTCTCATATATTTGGTGTTTGAAGCGACATATTACAAAAAAATACACACCATTTTCGGTGACAATGCCAGCATGTTTGTTTAGTATATGTTTGGTACATGCTTGATCTAATCATAAAACAATTGATACGACACAAACATTTTTAGACGGCCTACCCTGTAACAAAAATGCTAAGTGCTATTTTTTATTTTTATTCTGTTGTTTTGTTCGCTGACGAAGGCTTCCTGCCGACACGTTCGTTGTTTTGTTGCGTTCCTTTTTTTTTTTTTCAGGTTTAACCCTACTTTGTTTTGCTCATTTTGTAACAAGAATGCAGTAGTTGCAGATGTTAAAAGAGAAACTATTTTACAATAGTCAATATTAATGGACTACTGCAAGCCAATTTCATAAAAACGAGTGGAACTTATTTTTGTACATATCACAACACACACAAACACTCGTACTCAAAAGAATGGTGTATCCTACTTTTTAAAAAAAAACTGATTTCATTTTGGGCCTATCATGAGTCAGGCTTTTAATACAAGTCTTCCCAAACTACATTGCGATGCTGTCAAATCTCTGTCATCTCTGTCCGCTACCTCCTGGTATCTCCGTCCCTCTACCTCCTGACATCTCTGTCCCTCTACCTCCTGGTATCTCTGTCCGCTACCTCCTGGCATCTCGGTCTACTACCTCCTGGCATCTCGGTCTTCTACCTCCTGGCATCTCTGTCCACTACCTCCTCGTATCTCTGTCCCTCTACCTCCTGGCATCTCTCTCCCTCTACCTCCTGGTATCTCTGTCCCTCTACCTCCTCGTATCTCTGTCCCTCTACCTCCTCGTATCTCTGTCCCTCTACCTCCTGGTATCTCTGTCCCTGATCAAAACCACCTTACCTCGCCTATCTTAACCACCCTGTACACTGATGACACAACACTTTCTTAGCTATTTTTTTCTCTGGGAAGTGATTATGGTAAACCTTTGCGTTTTAAAAAAAACAAAAAAAAAACGTGAATTGAAAATAATCCACGTTATAGTGGCCGCGCCTTTTCAAAGAGTGTTCTTGAGCACCAGAAATCTGAAGATTGAAAACACCTTTGCCAAAAGATTCCCGGAGCACAAAAGATCAGAACCTCTACTGCACCTTTGCAAAGAAGAGTCCTAGGGCTCCAAAGCTCGGTGATCACCAAGGCCCTTTGAGAGGACTATTTTTATTTACCGTCATGCAGTGCGCGAACTTCCTCCAGGAGAAATAAACACCTGATCGAGGGTCGACCTTGGTGGCAGCAGACATGGGTGGGGGGGGGGGGCGTGTTGTGGTTGAGGAGGGGGGTGTGTGGTGCTGATCAGTGTTGTCTGATCGTGTTTGTGTTAGTGGGAGTGAGCCTGTTCGTGCTGACATCTGGACTGTCTATACTACAAGTGGCTTCGAATTGGAGCAGCATCTTGCCATCGGGAAGTCATCATCAGCATGAGCCGTGTAGACTTAGTGATATGACAACACTAAAGGAAAGCATGGGGTAGTGTGATTCATTTTACCTAAGAATACGGAAAAGATATTACACAATTGTCTGTTTTGCGCTCTTTCTTTCTGCAATGACCTACCCATTTAGACAAGAAAACAGATAATTTATAAACACTTTTTTAAAAACTACTACAAGAAAAAGTTTTATCTTTCATTCGTTAGCTGTTGTTTTTTTTTTGTTCTTTTTTTTTTCTTCTTTTTAAATTGCAGAAACCATAAGATACATCGGCGACAAAGAGTCAAAAAATGATTTTGGTATCTTTATCCCTCTACCTCCTGGTATATCTTTCTGCTACCTCCTGGTATCTCTGTCCCTCTACCTCCTCGTATCTCTGTCCCTCTACCTCCTCGTATCTCTGTCCCTCTACCTCCTGGTATCTCTGTCCGCTACCTCCTGGTATCTCTGTCCATCTACCTCCTGGCATCGCTGTCCCTCTACCTCCTGGTATCTCTGTCCGCTGCCTCCCGGCATCTCTGTCCCTCTACCTCATGGCATCTCTGTCCCTCTACCTCCTGAGATCATCGAACATTCTTTCATCGCTTATTATCAGTCTTATTCACCTTTCAAATTTATTGGAGAACATCGTGCTTCCATTGAAACCTATGTGAAGTAATCGTACACTCTCACCAAACTCTGAAGATTTCAAAGATTTTCAAAACAATTACACAATGACCCAAATACATGTAAGAAGTTGGTTAATGAGTATAGGAAAACGCATTGTTGAATGTTTAATTATAGAATTGGTAAAAAATGTACAAATAATTATTTATGACTACACAACTGATTCGAAATAATGCATTCCCTGCGCCATGTGCTGTTGAGGAGATTACAACAGAAATTTAAGAGCTTGCCAGAATTTTGCCCCGATTGCTTCTGGAGCGAATGATGATTTATCCATACCACACCAATTCAAGCGACTTATAAAGATGAAGTAACAAATGATAAGGTTGTTATGTTTTATCAGAAAGTTTTGTTTATGAATTGATATGAACACCCAATATGCAAAATGAGTAACGACCAAAGCCTGACATATATTACTTGATAGACTCAGGTTAAATGTGAATTGCAGATGAATGATAATTATTATGATTTTTATTTTTTTTTTTTTAAATAAATTGGTATTAGTTTCTATTCCATCATCTCATCATGTTAGCTACAAATTTTTTTTTTTTAATGCGTTATACTTGAAGAAAACAATTTCACGTTTTTGATATACGTTAATTCTGTACATTTTTTTTTCTATCAAAACTCAAGACAGCTACGAAGAGCCATTTTCAAAATCTATTTAAAATTGCAGCCGCACAGAAGCCTATCTGTAACATCGTATTTCCGGTGTTCTGGTGGCAAATCTGTTTCTTTAATATCGCGTGTCAAACACAAAGCTGTTCCGTGGACCGAAAGGAGAAGACATTCTCTTCACGGGCTTTGATTAGCTCCACGCCCCACAAACAAACGGCTCCCCTGATGGGGCGTCAACAATGTCGACGCCGCGTCCATATCCTTGAGGGCGGAGCTGCCCCCCCCCCCCCCCCCCCCCAGGTAATAAAAGGCCACATATATGTAATGTGTTAGTTTTTAGGTGCCTTGTATACACAGAGCGTACCATAAACCCACAATCAATGCATGGCGCACCCACACACGGGCACCAATAGATAGCCACTGTCTGTCGGACATCAGGGTGGAAGGCTGGAATAACATTTTTACTTTCTCCACTTGGAAATTCCCCTGTCAAGTCTCTTAATGTAGTGTTTAAAGAACAGAGTGCTATTTGGATTGTCAACATAATCTCGTGTGGAATACATTTATAAGTTTATTTATGTGCTAGCGTCATCCATCCTTGATTGCATTATATATTTAGTCCACGCAATCATTC